GAACTTTTGCTTGTACAAGACCAAAATTATTTGTTTACGATGCTAGCGCACTACCAAATGAAGAATGTGATTAATACTAGGATCTACATAGGCCTGGTAGTACAGTGACATACTACTAGTACTACTAACATTAAGATTGTTAAACAATTAACATTCGCACCACCAATGTTAAATTAACTTTCCCTATGTTTATTTTAACGTTCCAAACCCCTTATTCAAAGAAAGTTCATGAGTTACTTCATGCATAGTAGTATTCAATTGTTATGAAAACCATGGTACTAGTACACGTAAAATAACAATTTTTGAACTTTCTTTAATTGCTAAGGGGTGTTCAGAACTTTAATTTAACATTCCCCCGAACGGTCGTACTAGTATTAGTAGTACTACTACTAGCACCACCGTGGTAGGATAGTACTACTAGTATGTAGAAATGAGTTCTGCAGTTTTTGCTTTGATTTAATATCCTGAATGCTCTGCTTAACAGTCTGAATGTTAGCAGGAAAGGATGCCCTTCTTCCTCATTTTAAAGGTACTATGTGCAAGACCCAAATAATTGTTTTGGGAAGGTACTAGTATGCCACCACATTGAAGAATGCTGATGATTGGAATAATAGGATCTAGGTAATCCTGCGCTGACATAGTTCAATTGTTATTGGCTACGGTGCACTGCACTTCACTCCTATCTCTCCTATCTTTAGTGCGCCTAGCCAGTAACTTTGAAGAATTCTTCTTACTGCCCTGGACTTACCGAGGAAACAAAATGAAACTTTTTTTAGTGTAGATTTGTACAAACCCCGGTATATTAATTTTTGCAAATAAATTTGTACCTTTACCAAAATAAACTTAAACATTCGGTCATTATTGTGACAACAAGTCATTCTACTAGCAACAACCTAGTAGTTTTTGCACCGTAGTAAGTTTTTTTGGCCGCCGCCTCCTTAAAAAAAAAACAAAGGCGGCGGCCGCAACCAAATTTTACGCGTAGTAATTAAGAAAGAGCTAGTTCTGTTCTACGAAATTCACCTCAACGGTCTAGAATCTAGAAAACTTGAATTCTATGACTCGAAACATGAAAAGGGCAACCAATTTCAATGCTGCACGTTCTGTAATCAATCACGCTTGTTGGCTAGAACAAGAAGAGCAAGATAGACCTTTCGACTTTCCGGTCGTATACAAGTCAATAGTAGTGCTGCATAGCGGACACATTGTAGTGCAATAGTATTGACCAACAGCGAAGACATTATCATAAAGCATGTCGTTGTCATTTTCGTCTCCAAGCCCTGGAACGAAACGCCGATTTCCACTACCTAATACCAATCCTAGTGCCAACGATACTACAGCCGACAACTGTAGAATAAAATGCAATGATAAGGACAACCGCAGAAAGTGGAATAATCCTAAMAACGAGGATATCGAGGACAATAAGCACCCGAATAACTATAACGAAACACMATTTTCTCCTCTCGGCAATCCAACCCTGCTCGGGCAGCTAAATCCAYACATCGAATCRTCGTCCAACGATCAAAACGGACGAGACGCGAGTCTCGATCCTCTTCACTATCCACAACAACACATKGAATYACCACCGGGGGAATTGCCAGAAGCAGAAGGAATACCTCATCACCTAATGTCCGAGGGAASTGGTGAAATGATACAGAATCGGCATCTTTTCGTTTTGCCGGTCTTGCTGYTGGAGTTTTTGGCCATTGCCCTGACAAGAGCTGTCCTGCCAAGYATWTTGATAGAAGAATATGGATCAAACGTCTATGTGGTCCTAGGTGTTGCAGATTGCATAAGAGGGATACTCGCCTTTTTTGCTTGCCCCATGTTTGGGAAACTATCGGATGTCTTGGGACGAAAAATATGTTTGTTTGTCACCGTCCTGGGAAGCTGTGCACCGATTTGTTCCCTTGCATTTTTCAASTGGGACAGCGAAGAACGAACTGCAGCTGCAGCAGAGGATCTTCTGAATGAAACGGTTTCGACTATCGTGGCACCTGATACTAGTACTGCCATTTCTTCTGCTTTGCCACCAATGGCTATCCCGCTGTTCGTCGTGCTTTTGAGTCTCTCGGGCATATTTTCATCGACCTTTCCATTGGTCTTCGCCTACATWAGTGATTCGGTACAAGAACGAAACGAACGAGTCACTGCATACGGYTTGGCCCTGGCTACTTTTGGGTTGAGCTTTACGATTGGTCCCATGGCGGGTGGATACCTSGCCAATAGCAAGACAGACTATGTGTTTCGATGTTCACTTGGTCTGACCATTCTAGATCTGCTATATATTTACGTGATCCTACCGGAATCAACGGCGCCAAGAATTGTCATGTTCTCATCGAACAGGGACGCCACTGCTACTACGGCATCACGTTCTTCGGATGCCTCGTCGTTCAAATCGGCGTCACGCGCCACCAGAAAGATGTTGCTGGAGGTTGCGGATTCGATTTCTTGGAATCCCTGGGATTCGATCTGGCTCGTTCTACATGATCCCTTTTTGAGAAAAGTGGGCCAGGTCGCCTTTTTCTACTATACGGGGCTATGGGCCGTCATTTCCACCCTATCGTTGTACGCTGTTCAGCACTTTAAAATGACACCGCAAATGCTTGGTGAATTGATGTCGGCCCTCGGATTGTCTACAATGGTAGCTGAAGCTGTCCTAGTTCGATTCATGGTACCCCTYGTTGGAGAAAAACRAGCCATTCGGATCGGACTGGTCAGTTTCGGTCTGCAATGTTTTGTGCTCGGGGCCGCGAATCAGTCCTGGCAGCTCTTTTTCTGCGTTGGGCTGTCACTCCTGGGGAACTTGGTGTACCCCAGTTTGTCGAGTTTGGTAAGCGGCATTGTGGAACCCAAAACCGTCKGAGAAGCCCTCGGTGCAATAAATGGAATCAAAGCCCTGACAGAGGGTTTGGGTCCCTTGATCTTCGGTACTCTAATGACTTTTTCGGAACACACGGCATTCCCGGGATCTCCCTACTGGYTGGCGGGAATACTCGTTTTTGTTGCCCACCACTTGGCAGACAAGTTACCCGCGAACAGCGAATCTGAGCTTGCTCTTTCTTCCTTTTCGTACCCGGACGAGCCAAGCATGATTTCCCCACCAGAAAAGGAATACATCCACGAACTAGAATTCAAACGACGATATCCACGCAGCGGATCGACACGGAAGCGACACCATGCTTCCGCAGAGGACAACGATGATTGCCTGTCAGCCATGTTTCCCACGCAATCTCGGGACGACGATGACGAAGAATACCAAGGTCTMTTGAGCGAAATTGATGAGGATTCGGATGATAAGGAATTGGAAGAAGTTCACGTTATACCTTCCACCGCCGTCATTGACGAAACCGAGCAAGAGGTACATTCCTTCGCGATAAAACCGGTTTGAAGATAATGCAAGTCGTTGATTTTTAGAAAATTCAGTTATTTCTATTTGAACGCAGCTATTTGTAATTAGACGGTGATATGCAAACAAGGCATTGGACTATGGACTGAAATCATACTTATCTTCCATCGACAACGTCTTYATGCATCATACTTGCTTCAAAGTCTACATCTCAATATTTTTACACCGMATCTAGCTTAATTCACCTTAGATCACCGTGTGTTCATCGTTTAGAAGCAAATGCAGTACCAATCGTATGATTGTAGCTGTACTGTTGATTTGTGTCCAAGGAACTTGCAGATCATTTTGCTGAACAGAAACACATAAATGAATTCGACTTGCTCATCTAGTTGGCAGATTATATACTCTAAAGGATACGTAGTATAGTTACTATAGTCAGTCCTTGTCGGATAAATTTAAATTCTARTTATCTGTATAATACACAATGATGAATGAATCTATCATCATCTTTTCACAAACTAATCCCCAACAGCGCCCGATTCGATGGTGTGCTGGTCTTTTAATGTTTSTTAGTTTGATGCACCGTAGTTGGGGAATTCTTGTCCTCCAGCAAGTTGGTAGTCGGCCTCTCTTTCGTCTTCTGACGACGACTTTCCAAAATTAGAATCGTACCACATACCGATAGCAGAAATGACGAAGACGAACATAAACATGGAAAAGGCCCCATACGCAGACTGTGCAGCCACTTCTACATCTTCTATTCCCGCAACGAAGAAAGGTTGTGTTGTGAGCATTATTCCTACCCAAAGCTGCGAATGAAAAARATGCAAAGAACGAGTGAGCGGACAAAATAAGTTCCTAGCTTCAGTACTCCAATGAAAATGTCTGCTGGCGCTCCTCCCGCTTCGTCTAAGTAGAGACAAATCTATTGTATATTCAGATATGGGACAGCGCCCTCGTGCAATATCGATTCGTCATTTCCATTYATCAGCCTGATTCACAATAACGAGCACCGACTCGAATGCAGAATAGAAAATGATGACTGACGGTTTCCGTTCATCATTAGACTATTCGTAGCAAAGGACTTCTCTCAAGGTCTCACTTCCACTCCAAACACCATGTCACGCAGCCTATCTGGCAAAAAAATTGATCCAATCATCCATCCTCAATCCTGACTATTGTAGGCAGCGAACGATTTCTCGGAAAACAGAGGCTCCCCATGGTCTTCCCATTCAACCTCAACTCACGGTAAAGATGGCTCCAACAATCGAGTAACCTGCACAGCAATGGGAAACTTCTCCTAAATCATTCAACATGGTTTAATATCACTTAGTATATTGTCACAACAGAGTGTCACTATCCGATGGGTCAATGTACTCTCTTTGTTCACTCTTGCTGTGACTGGATTTCTTGCACCGGAATCATCTATCAAGCTCTCAACAACGATACAAGGTTGTACCGGCWGTACGAGTACTCGTACTTATTTCTGGTGCAGAATCGATCGGGTACGAGTCGGAACGATGATATCCTGGCATAACGCCAGGCTGCATACGGTCCGTTTCGGCTTGGAGGTTGGTTGGCGAGCGCGCGGCCGTCGTTATCTGTTATTCAGAAACGTATATATCTTTCAGACTTGCATTGGATCATTCGGAAGAGTCAAAAGTATTGATCCAACGAGTCATAGTACCATACAATGCTATCAACATATCAGTAATATGATATGAAACAGGTTACGGCGTGAGGSATGATACATGACACATGACACTTGTTCCTTACGAGTATCGTACCATACGGTACCAAGTACGGTAAACGTATCGTACTCCTGCTGCTCGCGGCCATCCAGGAGGGTTCTCAACAATCATTTGCACAAAAAATCTGAGTGATCTTGACCATACACGGTACAGCACGATAGAACGTGCTTCATCAGGGCCTTCACCTTCCGACCTCGGATGCATAAAATTTTCATGATTTCGACTCCTGTACATAGTTCAAGTATCGAACTGTGTTGTGAAGACATCATGCYATTACATACAGCTACCCAAACCTCGCTCAGTGTACGCATAGGTTTCAGTTGTGTTCAGGATTATTGCAAACCGTTCGTTTTCGTTTGAGGGTCGTCTAACTTCTATCCTCATAATACAATCTGGTCTGATCTCGAACTATCAATCGCACTGTAATCGAAAATTATCTCAGCGCGACAATATCGAATCAATCAATACGATGTTACCAACTTCTCTCCGGTTAGTCTATGCCTTGAACGCAGCGACCTTTCAGGTCTCAAGCCTAGCGCTCTTGTCGATAGTCAATACAAGGGTCAGGATTCCTGCAGAATATCTGCCAGCCTATGGTGCGATTTGTTTTCTTCCATACAGTCTCCGTCCCATCTTTGCGTGGGTCAGTTCAGTACTGTTAAACCACAACAGCACGACGGATGGAAATAAAAACCGACATGACAAGCTTCTTTTTCCAGTTTTTATACTAGCGAGTTTGTCCTTTGTAGGGACGATATTCATTCCGACTGGTGGAACTATTCTTTGCTTTTTCTGGGGTTTTGTACGAGGCATAGCAGGTGCCTGGAGCGATTTCTTGATCGGCATGGCCGTCATCGAATTTTCGAAATTKCATTCTAGGGTTCTACAGATGTCTCCTTCAGAGAAAAATGATGAAGAAAGCTACGAACACATTGTTTCTATCACCACGGCGCAATCTTCAACGGCAAAAAACATCGGATCGTTTGCGTCATCGATTGCAACATTCGTATTTTTTGCAAAGAATAGAAATCTCGGGGAGGCTGTCGCGAACACACTTATATTGGGAACAGCTGTAATATTTGTTTTGGCGGCTCTAGTTTCTGTGAAATATCAATTTTATGTCGGGAATCTGTCTGCAAACTTGCACATGAGAGAATCTACTTCGGATGATGATGACGCTATCGACAACAACCAAGAGCTTGAAGAAGATGACAGCACCCCGGCATTGGCAACAAATAACTTTAGTTGCATTTCMTCTTCCATTCAAGGAAATGAAATTGAGMTTTCCAGATTTGGTGACGAAGAAGGCACCCTTTCATCAGAGCTCCAGAGCCGTAGTCGAGACACAGCACAGTCGACTATTCAGCGTCACCAGAAAATGGTCGAAGTTTCGACGTTGGTAGTTTTCCAAATAATTTTGGCGGCAACAGCCCTTCGAAAGCCCATAATTGCAGTTTCAACCCAGGCGACATTTGTGTTATTGGTAGCAATCTTRGTCGGTGCCCTAATTTTCACCATTTATATTGGTTATCGATACGAGCGCAAGCAGAAAGCAACCTCATTTATGCCTGTGTCAGACGATGAAAGCAACAMGATTTATTCTCAATCGAATAAATTGTCACACGGAAGGCTCAACTTATACTTTCTGCTGAGATATTCCCTGCCTATTGCTGGTTTCTTGATGTATTCCTATCTRTATACTGTCTTCGAAACAGAGCCGCAGTTTCTACAACTGCTCTCTGTCCTCAAGTCAGCCATCGGATCTTTGGCTACATTTTTTTACGAAAGGTTCTTGTCTCCTTACTTTCATTCTGGTTGGCCATTGATTGGGCTGATAGCAAGTCTAGATATAGTGATGGGACTGATTGCACTATTGGATGTCTGGGTAATTCGTGCTGTCAAGGAGAAGGAAGTGGATGGGGATTATTCTATCGACACTTCACTGAGRWTTTTGGTTGTAGCAGTAGGCCTTGTGAAATATTTTTTTGCAGAGCTTGATTACATGCCAGCTTTGGTTTTGTCAACAACAAATGTACATAGTGACGATGACAAACTATTCGATGATCGACGAAACAACCCACAAGGGAATGATGGTTGCCCAGATGAGCCAGCAGAAGAAATGACCTCACTAGCCCATGACTTTGAGAGGGTTCAAAGACCAAKATTTTCTTCMCTCAGTGTKGACTCGCGCCATGAAGATGATGCTGATATCTCACAATGCCAATCTACAGGACAGAAATTTCCCATGATCAGTGCTGGAATGCAGTATGCCTCATTTCTTTCATGCATCGACTTTGGAGCTCAGATTGGAGATTGGATTACGATTCCAATTGTTACATCGCTTGACATCACACGAGAGAACCATTGGAACAACCTAGATAAGCTTGTCATCATTTGTAGTATCTTCCGCATGGTTCGTGTCGTATTCTTGTGGTTAATATGCCCACCAATCTACCGAAAGAATAGAGGAAACGGCACTAACAACTCCTGTTAGTGCTCAACAAAATATGTTGGATTTAGGTGGCACGGCAGTTACCAGCCGATGAAGTGATCAAATTATAAATYGAAGTCTGACGAATATGCACTATCATACTTTAAATAATTCGAACGAAAAAAATTCATAAATTTCCTTTAGGCCCATCCACAGACKAATGATTTTTTATGAGAGAATTTCTTGAATTGTGGCCATGTTCGTGATCATGGAGGCTGAACTTTGAAGAATAGGAACTGCAAGTATTGCTCCAGTACCTTCGCCCATTCTTAGTCCCATCGAGAGAGCTGGAGAAGCCGGGACTGGAAGATTATGCTCCTTYGCTATGGCCTGAATTTGTTCAATTGCTGCCTTTTGTCCCTTCTCAGCTGATTTTGTTGTGAAGAATAGCACATTACATACGCTTGGTTTCATCCGAACGGCTACCAATGCCGCTGCTGTGACAATGAAGCCATCTACCAATACAGCGACATTTCGTTCCAATGCTTCTATCATAGCACCGACCAGAGCTGCAATTTCTGCACCTCCGACCTTAGAAAGAATGGAAATGGCTTCTTTCAAAGATCCTTTGTGCTTGCTCAGTGCCCTTTCAACAATTTCAATTTTCTTCTTGATTTTCTCAGTATCGGCTTCATGAGAAGCAAAAGCTCCCCCTCCACAAAGATCATTTACAGGCTTTTTCGTCAATGCAGCAATAAGTGTGGATGCCGTGGTCGTGTTTCCTATTCCAACTTCGCCGAGGGCCACAACTTTGCACGATTTTTTTTCGACAGCTTGAGCAATGGTCTTTCTACCTATCATGAGACATCGATCCATTTCTTCTATCGTCATTGCGGGCTCAACGCAAAAGTTCTTCGTCCCCTTCGACAGTTTGTTCTTCGCCGAATTCACAAAATTCCCTTCGTATGGATCACCCAAGACACCAACATCTACCACACTAAGGTTTAATCCTTGAGCTTTTGCCAAGACCGATGCTCCWGCAACATTTTGCTGTAAGCCTTCCAATATAGCTCTGGTAACTGCCTGTGGGTACAAAGAGCAACCTTCTCCACCATCTTCCTTGGCAGCTGCTACTCCATGGTCTCCGGCGAAAATGATGACACTGACTGAGTCAGCCTTGGGACTCAAACTACCTTGCAGCATAGAAATACGAGCGGCCCATTCTTCCAACGACCCTAGCGAGCCAACTGGTTTGGCTAGAACGTCTAGATACCCATGTACCGCATTGTGCTTGTCCATCATTGTTGCAGTCGGTGATTTCAAGAGACTTTGAGCCTTGTCTTTCGGCGAAGCAGATGCGGTGGACTTTCGYTCACTGGTTTGTGATAATTTCAYATCGGCTTTCTGTTCCTTRACTTCATTTTTTGCATATCTCCTGTCTGCAGAAGAAACCACCGAACACCAAATTTGGTACAAAATGGTCATCGAAGAAAAACGAAGAAMGAGAAGTAACTTTTCATTCCCCAAAAWATATTCTAGTCCATGCGAAGAGAAAATGTTTTCTGTCATTAACGCCTGCAAGCATGATGTAACAGTTTCTAATACGGAACCTCCTGCTAGGCTTGMGTAGATRAATAACTCTACGAAACAAATTGTACAACCAAGAAAGTCACCCATAACACCTCCAAGCTTCTTGCGTCCATATACCCCAGCGATTTCGGCACAAATCCAAGCCCCGATGATCAATTTTGCCGACAATTGTGGTCCGTATAGGATGGATATCAACACATGACAAAAAAGAGATGAAAAGAAGATGCGAGGAAGACTGACCAAAAACTTTGCACGAATCATAAATGAGTAGAACTTAGATTTAGGGCCATCTTCCTCGACATACTCACAYCTCCAAATCAAATATGGGGCCGTTAAACGAGCCAAAGAATGCCTGTGAAAACAGCGATAGAAAATATGTTCAAATGAGCCMATTGCAAAGTATTCAAATCGAGAGATAAGGATTTCGATTTTGACTTACGCAACGATCAACGCTGGACCAGCACCGGYACTTGACTCGAATGTCGCTTGGTCGTCACTATAAACACCGAAATCGTAAATTTTCCAAGTTGATGAACCTAGGGCTGCCAGAAGTTGTAGCTTGGCAAAAAGGTACAAGATCAAAGCCGCGGATCCAAAAGTACCCAATCGACTGTCGGACATGATTCTTAAAATTTGATGTCTCGTCCAACCTCCTCCCATTCCRTCGGCCGTATCCGCCAAACCATCCTCGTGCAAGCAACCCGTGATTTTTAAACTCATTGCTGTACTCAGCGCTGCTGCGGCAGCAATCGGCAATTCCCATAACAGCAGCCCCATATCAAAGATCTGAGATACAAGAACTCCCACCATCGCACCGACGACAGGAAAATAACACATTCCCTTCATCAAAAAGCCAGGATGGATTGCTGCCCAGTGAGCAGGGCATGGCAGAGCCGTAACAAAAGTAAAAATGTTMAAAAAACATCGTGTTTCCGACCTCAACCCCAGGGTATTTTCGTTCAAGAACTCTTCGATATCTTTTGCAACTTCGTCATTCTTTTCATCTTTGAATCCTCGAGATTCTACAGTGCCAGCATCCAGCACGTTTTTGTCGGACATGATGTTATTGGATGGCCGTCGATTGCTTCTTCAATACCGTCGGGGCGTTTTAAAGAAGTTTTCACCAAGGTCAAGTGCYACGCAGAATTGATTGAATGAACGAGATGAATCTTTTTGGGAAAATCCATCGGAGCTGCACGAACGACTGAAAGAACCGTCTTTTCAATCGGTTTCGTATCGTATGGATGGTACGGTACGTACTCGTACTGCCATACTACTAGAAGGGTCTGTCATCTGTCCCGTTGCAACCGGTATGATGTATGATCCGATATCCCGTATCACATAAGTACAGTACAGTACCATCATACACATTTGAATATGATTTGTATTTTGAATCCTTTGGTCTCATGATTGTWCAATTCCGTACCAAGTACAAGTACTTTACCTGGTACTTTTACGTAGTAGAAGAGAGAGAAAAAATGCTTCAAATTTGTATTTCATGTTTCCAGTCCAAACGAAGGGAACTGTTTGTACCGTACGTACTACGTACAGCACATACTGTGACCGCCTACTATAAGTACCGTACTGGAATGAGGTTTGGAAATCTGATTGAGAGAATGCGACCTGGCGGGTGGATATCGTTTGAAATTTTGCGCTTGTTCAAAGCGACGCGTGCTGGTAGATGAAAARGCGTCTAGACATACAGGACAGAAAAATACCGTGTCAAAAAACAGGATATCAATCCCTCGCATTCGTGATATAACAGAATAATCAATATCGTCTCGACGGCTGAGTGACCAATGATCATTGCACCGATACGACAAGATTTCCTCTCGCATGGTGAATTCCTAGATAGAAATATCGGATCTCGTTTCCTTGCTTGACCATCTTTCGAGAGGTTCACTCGCACTKGCAAGAAGAACGCAGTGACAAACAATTATGATGAACCCCGAAACGACGGAGACAAAAATTGCAGATTCGACAAATCAAACGACTGAATCAAATATCACTGCTGCAGAAGGTGGTATGAATTCTGCTCAATATGGCGGTGGGTCCAATCATAGTTTAAGTCCGCCACTTGATCTTCCATTAAATCAATCTTCTTCCTATCTCTCGCTATCTTCTGGTTCTTCGGCAATGTCATCTCCTCCATCCAATAATACGACGACGAATAAGAAAAGCGTCATTGACGACGTCGGTGCTGTTGGCGAAAGCAACAAGGAAGTTCAGGAAGGTCGAACTACAATTGAAAGCTCTGCAAAAATCCCCGCTTCCGTTCCACGCAAAGATTCTGACGATATTAGTTTGAGCAAGATCAAACCCGTGCACAACTTTTTCGGGCAGCACCAATATTCACCGTATGATTCGGATGGATCTGATGGTTCCCTTGTGTTTTCGCCTGGATCGGTGACGGATGACCACAAGACTGCTTCGGTGACGGATGACCACAAGACTGCTTCGATTCTAAGTGACAACAAAATGTCTTCAACTTCCTCCGGAGCAGGAGCAGTAGCTAGTACTACACTCGGCAACAAAGGCAAACACAAAAGGCAAGATTCACAATCACAATCYACGGATAGGAATCGATTTCCCAGCATAGACAGTGTSGCAAGTAATGGGTCTATAAGATACGTGCGTCCATCTCAAAATGCGCCAACGAATYCGGAACCAAAGCAAAGTGCTTCTCAGTCACAGCCCATCAATCCACAATTATTGCCGTACAATGAACGTAGAAAGTTGTTGCAACAACGACAGTATGAAGAACAGCACCAGCAGTTACAGTACCATGCTGCATTGATGCATCRGCAAAGTCATATGGCCCATCACCATCCAACTCAATCCTACCCAATGGATCCGCGAATGGTTGCAAGTTACTATCAGATGTATGGAATGCCTCCTCCTCCTGGAGTGTACGCCTCAATTCCTCCTCAGCATGCGTCAGGAAACATACCACCTGTAGGATATCCTCCACATCCGCCAGGAAACGCGTCTATAGGATATCAATTTCCTACCCCACAACCAGGAGTGCCATATTACTCTCATGTACCCACTCCCAGTACTACGCAGTTGCACCCATCAGTACAGCAGTTTCAGCAGCAAACTTCGTCAACGGGCTATCAGCAACAGCCGTACCAACMCCCATCAATACCGAACCACCAAATTTCCCAATCCTTGCCCTCTCAATACCATCAAAATCATCCAAGCGGATATCCTATGACTACTCCGCCTTATCCCAATGCAATGCATGCCCAGTTTTCGTACTCACAACCTCCACCTCCGCCTGTACAAAGCAATCCGCCAACGGAACAGGCTAAGCAAAAGGAGCAACCATCGCGTGAACATCACGAGCAGCAAAAACCACCTCAGCCCCGTTCGGGCTCTTATCCCTCGACAGATCGCTTTCGCAATGGTGGAAAGGATTCTGTAGAAGGAAATTCTACAACTGGCATTTCTGGAGGCGCGAACACGTCTCATTCATCATTATCTACCGCCACTAACAACAGTACAAAAAGCAATCCGCCGAGGTTGCCACCTACTACTGGAAGTCGACGTAGTACTACTAGTGTTAACAGTGGATTCAGCACTAGTACTGGAAGCATCCCACCACCACCACCACCACCACTAACGCATGGGATCAACTCTTCGGGAGGGTCTTCGTCGTATCATTCACGGGCTGATTCATACGGGAGTCTGTCGTCCGTTGGAAGTCACGGGATAGGAGCGACCGGTCACAACAAGGTCGAAAATAACGATGCTTTACAATATCCGTCAAAGCCAAGCAAGCTGTCGGCCAACGCCGATGACAAAAATGACTCAAATTTGACTGCRCCAATGACACCAACACAAACCCATCCTACCATTGATACCGGGTTGACGGTTACCACACCAGAGACACCTCGAGACGCGATTCATGCAAGGAAGAATTCTTTTTTAGATATGCTCCGTATGAACTGGTCTCCGCAGTCGCGTGATTCTCCGTCTAGAAAGCAACCCAATATCAATGAATTTCATAGAAAGAACCAAGCGTTTTTGAATCGTCCAAACTCTCTCCCACCCTTCATGAAAGCACCCACACCGGTGCAACACCGACGAATTGGATCACTTGATCGCCCACCAGCAAGTCGAGGTACTCATCGACGATTACAATCAATCTCGAACGATGAATGGGACGACAGCGACGGTGCTGATGRAGGTGACCACGCCAAAAACAGAGAAGGCAATAAGAAGGATTTTGTTGCCAAAAGAAGCTTGGAGAAAAAGAAATCGACACAGAAAAATCAATCGCCAACGAAGTTGAACGTTGCGAGGACCCCAGACAGTGAYGAAATGAGTGATTCTGGAACGCTTACAGACGAAGACCGCATCACTACAGACGAAGATGGCTATGACGACTACAAAAATGTTAACGAAACGTCAGCTCTTTTACCTTCTAGTCGTAAGAGTGGGAACGACCACGAARGAAAGAATTCAAAATTTGAGCGTAGAAATCGTCGAGGCCGACAACACTACGATGCAACGTCTAATACACGGAAAAATGATCACAAAAAGGTTCACACGGGTGATTCGAATCAGATTTCGAGCGGCACGAGCATTAGTGATAGCAGTTCCAATATCTCAAGGTTTTCAGAYATGTCAACTTTRCGTTGGGATAATCGAGCAACGAGTGCATCCAGGAAGTCACGAAAAAAGAAAAATCGCCATAAGAATTCAAAACAATCTTCGACCAGCGATGGCTCGTCTGCGAGCAGTCAAGATTCATCAGATTCGGCTTTTGACCATCGTAAATGGACGAAAAAAAGAGCCATCATGTTAGAGAAAGAGCGAGCTAGACTCATCGAACAATGGAAAGCAGAGGCTAGGGAAGAAGCCGAACTCCTAAGAAAAGAAGAAGAAGCAAATATGTGGCATCGCCGGATGTGGAGAACGACTTCCGAGAAGCTACGTAACTTTGGCGTTACAACCTTTCGTTGCTTAACCTTGGTGGAAAATTTTATTGGTAACCTTCCGTTAACAATCGGAGCTGTTGCGTTAGCTATTGTAACGCTAGGTGTCGTTTGGTTCAAATTTGCTGAGGAATATTTGGACACATGTGAACCTGTTCATTTCCATTCATCTCAATGTATCTTTCCCGAGTTTCCTGGGTGCTTCTACTGCGATACGAGTGCTTTGGGATATAAGATCGCACTTGGTTTTCACTACCTCTGCACTATAATGTCCGGTATGCTAGCRATGCTTGTCGTCGCGAAAGTTTTGTTGGCAACAAGGGTTGTYGTTGACGAAATGTCGAGTCCAACCACGTCGAGTCCTGCTGGCCTCTTATGCATGACATCAGTTTGTGTCTTCGCTGGTCGAGGCATGGTTGGGCAAATGATAGTTTCTGCCGCTGCTTGCTTTCATTTAGTACTGACGATCTGGTTCATATACATGGCACTGGCGTACAATATCATGCCTGAGCCTTCGTGGTTTCCAAACACCGTTGGGATAGGGCTTAGCGCTGTGAAGGTGGGTTGTTTCCTTTTTCTTCTTTTCTTTCCATTGCATCTTTTCACTCGAAGTGTTCCACTTGATTTTTTTCTTCGGCCGTACTCAACATCGTTTATCTTCGTTTCTTACTTTGCCACCAATTATACAAATCTTTCTGAAAGACTTGGTTATACTATCCAATGTGAGTTCACTGGTTTGCAACTCCGTCGAAGAACTATGAACGCGTAGCTCCATTCTRACCCATTTCTCAATATTTCTCTCGTTCTAAACTGAAAAGGCCGGGTCATTTGCTGATGGCAATATCACTCTCTCTGAATTTTTTCTTTTTCCCAATAAGTCTGATCCGTGTTGTAGTCAACAAGAAGATTTCAGCTACAGTGGCATGGATGCAAATGAGTGCCCCTGCTGTCAGTTTGTATGCCTTGACGATCATGGCACAACCAAGTTTTGAAGAAGAGCAACCCGATGTGACTTCGTTTCAGCGTGTCCACCGCATGGTGTATCTCCCATGCATGCATGTTATGTGTGCTCTTTCGCTGCTTGGGATGGCGGCAAGTATTCATAGTCTCTACGATCGATGGGCGGATTTCAAACGCAAAGAGTTTTCTCCTGCCCATGCCGCGTTCTGCTTTCCAACTTTAAGTCACGCAAACGCTATCCAGGTACGGTTTAACGATGTGCTCAAGTTGTGTCTCTTTTTATTGTTTTGTTCAAGTAGGTACTTACGCGAAYTGTTTTTTGTTCTTCTTCGTACTCGTTTTGGAAAGGCATATCGCGGGGCGATAATGAGTTTCTCACAGGTTCCTCCGCGCTCATGGAGAATGTTTGTACTTGATACATACTGGTTCATAGTATTAATAGGAGGTACCATCGCAACAATCTGGATTTGTGGGAAGTTTCTATACAAACTGCCCGAGTGGACGTCACCAGACTTGTCGAACGAAGAGGAACCACCGGCACCATACGACACACTTCTTTCCCAGCAGCACATGGTTACCGCCGGAGATACGCTGACCCAGAACTTTGTAAGTCCGGCTATTCTACAAGCAAATGAAACTGGAGCTTTGATCTTGTCGAGGAGTTCGAGAGATGGAACCCTTCGGTACGTACGTACTCGACGTATTCGAGCGTTGGGATTCGAACCAACCATGAATTGGAGCGAAATTCAAGAGGAGGAAGCGAAATTATTAGAGTGGGTAGGAAAACATCCTCCTCGAAGAAGGCACCGTACATTGAGCGTACCGGGTATTGACTTCAACTATGGACATTCCCARCCAACGTTTGGAACGGGGAACTCTGGAGTGTACAGTTCGTATTCACCYATTACATCATCTGGACCCGGAAGAAAACGTTCCATGTCTCAAGGAGAAAAAACAGCATTTTTCAAATAAATTTGCCAACAGTGAGGTACAGAAAAGTATTAGCACTTGTTGATTATCCCTTTTTGGCATAACCATAATTTAGCGTACGAGATTCAATTTTGTAATAGATTTGTAATTTGAATAGTACACAACATTATTCCACTTTTTGCGTCAAACACTTTTTCTGCCATATTCAAAATAGATATCATTTTAATTTAGGAAATGTTAAGTGGTGCCCAACAAGGATGATTTTGTGTGCCATAACTGGCGTGAAAGCCATCGCCTGTTTTTGACCCTTGCTCATGTAATTTAAATAAAGTGTTGTCGTAAAAGTATGTAGGTCATCTCTTACTTGCGTTAGTGGGCTTCCCTTCCAGCACCTTTTCTTGATGGTCATTATCAAACTGCAAAAACTATCAGTTAGGAAAATAAAACATAAATAGGAATGTACACGAATGCATTGTGGTCTTGAAATTCACTAATGAATTCCATGTGAAAAGCATAAAAGTGCTTTACACCCTGCTATAATGTCGGGGTCYTCCGTAGGTTTTATATTTCGATGGATTTGCTGAAAATCGTCATTGCTTCTACTGACCACACTCGAGGAACTATTTTTAGTGATACTCGAGGTTGTCAGACTCAGAAACTGTGGTGGTGGAACAGTTAGGTCCAGTGAAACTTGCAGTGTCCCATCCGGCGAGGTGGACGGTGAATGTAAGGGGGACGTGACCGGGGATACAATTTTTGGCGTCGCAGAAGGGGCAACAATGTGCAGAGTGCTTTCATTGTCTTCGCCSCGATCGCACAACTGGAATCTGGCTTTTTTCGTGTATTGTGTATCTTGTAATGAAGTCACTGATCGCGATCGTTTGGTTCTATTCTTCTGCGGTACTTCTTTCGTTCCGGCTTTCGCTTTGAAGACTGCAGGCGTTGATTTAGTTTTGTGGGATTCGACTTTTTCGCTGTGGCGATTCTTGATGGATTCTGAGARGCAACCATCAGTTCCATTGGTTGAATTGCCACTGGTGGYTGATCTACGTCTAAGGCGAAGAATATCGTCAATGACAATGACCCCCTCGTTACAATAGGTTGCACCCTTCTGCCTGCCCTTACCAATCCGAGTGAAACTAAAGTAATTGAGCTGTCGACGAAGCGACGCAAAGGACGAGTGATTGAAGTATCTCGTTAGGATCTCGTTCTCTACCTTGATTCGGTCATGGACAACGATGCGTCCCAACGTTTTTGATCCGTTTTCAATCCGACCAGGGCAAAATGAGATCACATCTTCGTTCTCCGAAAGCATGTCAACAAGCCGTCTGTAGCAAAAAAGAACAAAACAAGTGAAACATTATTGGTGTGAGATTCATATAAAATTGAAGGATGATGCATACCCGCAACGAACAATAAACCATCCCCGAACTGCATCATCCCATAAAATTGCTRAAGTTTGCAATGCAATGGGGGTTCTGAAATAAAAAGCATAGAATGTACTGGAATAGAAAACAAAGGAAAAAATATTTTCTATTCCATTCTTTCTCGATAGAAATGCTCTGCCGTCTTAAATTCGCGCATCACGCATCAAACCACGGRATCTTAACGGGCTTCTTTGATGTTATGGTTTTTAGGATGATTGATTTGACTTTGGTGCTCTTGAGCAGATTCTGTATAACCGGTCGTCATCTCTCGATGATGRCAATTTAYTGTGTTCAGACATCCATGAAGAGCATCCACGGGTCAAATCATAGCGGCACTGTGGAACTCCAACATCAAAAACGGTTTTTGTCGAAGTTTCGGGAAGACTGGCGAGAAGMATGGGTTTCTTTTTTCTGGTGCCGATAAGGATCGGTATCTTCACTTACCKTAGAAAGGGAATGGTCTTTTCTGTAGCTTCGGGTTCTTTAACTTCCTTTGAGGAGGAAGTCAATTGTTGGTCTGGTTTCGGAAACATCTTCACAGTGATGAGAGTTACGAATGCAAGTTAGTGAGATTGAGACTATTCGATATATGTACAGCAATACCGTAGAAAAAGTCGAAGAGAGAAAGAAATCAAGAACTACAGCCAAGAGCAATGAGAATGAATGAATCGAGAACGTTCGTACCGAGAATTTCTCACAAGCAAGCTTGAGAGAAAAGATCATTTTGTTGATGGGCGGTTCGCCTTCGAAATGCGAAAWTTGACTTCGATTCCCATAAGTRTGCAAAAAGATTCCATCTTGGAACGATAGTACTATAGTTGCGCGCGATCAGAAACAACAGAAGTGCGTACGAAACAATTTGGCGTTTTTGTTGTCTCTTAATTAAAAAAATCGATATGACGCATATCGTATCAAGTGGAGATGTCATACAAAAGCGTACTAAAAACGAAAATAATCATTCAGAATTGGTTTTTACCAAGTTCGATCACTGTTTCCACATTGAGAGGATGCCTGTACACGTGGAAACGTACTATTCTCTTGCGATCGTTGTTTTTTCCAAAACCTTTTTTTGAAACTCTTTGTTTCTTACAGTAAGTATGTTTTAAAAACTGGCGCGGCCTTGACTACAAGGTTATAATGAAGAACGGGTTTAGTACCAACTCCACATGAAAAATTCTTCACTTCATAGTAGTACTAGTAGTAAAGCTCACCACTTTGTTGTTTTCAAACTTCATAGTACTAAAGACCAAGCTCCTGGTACTACTAGTACTAGTACTACTACTATACTACTACTAGTACTACTACTAGTAGCAGTATTAGGGTAGTACTAGTACTACTAGTACTAGTACTAGTGGTGGTCGTTGTTCTGTGCTCACTCCTCCAACTGCTGATTTTTGCTTTGGTACATGCTATTGCTGTACCTGTAGTGGTACAAGTCAAATTTTAATCCTATGTGTCATTAAGCAGTAAAAAGATAGCCCAAAATCAATACACAGTAGAAAACATGTAGAATGCTACTACTACGTCACAGTACCTACTAGTAGTAACTAAGGGTCAACAACTCACTCAAACAGCTATAATTTGGTGGTCCCCAGCAGAAACTTAAGAATGATAGGCACATGAATGAAAAGACAGTAAAAAGACAAATTCAGTGATATGGGGCAGGGGTTATATGGGGTTATTGAGTATTTAATTGTATACATGTTTTTATATCAAGCATTAAAAATGTAGGATTAAATCGGCTATTTTTGGATTGGCACAGTTATACAATAGCACGTACTAGTAGTAGTATGGGTCAAAGCACTGCTGCAGCTATTGTCAAGGCTGTCAATTCTGAGCTATTTGGAATTGTGCTGAACTACACCAGAACTGTTTTGAAATACATGAGAGAAGGTAGATCTTCAGAGCCACCTGAAAGAAAGGGTCCATGTCCTGAAGATATCACTGAGCAAAGATTCAATGAACTTGGTTTTTAATGCCTTTGAATTGTTTATGCAAATTGGCACACAAAATAGTAGAGATGCCTTATCTGTTGACTGTCTGCCACTTATTCAATGACTGAATGAAACTTTTGGTCTGTTGTCTTCTTCTGCAACTGGAGGGAACAATTATTATTTTTCAGTGTTGAGCATGACAAGAAAGGTCAATCTTCAGGCAAAGGTTTTGAACCCAATTAAAGATCAAAGAGCTTGATGACCAGCTCTCATACCAACTTGAAGTTCTAGAAGCACCAGCAGTAGACAAGGATTATCAATCTAGACGATGAACTGTGCCTCTCTGACAAGTCATCAAATGTACTAGTGTCACAATCAGTTTTTATTGCTGATTCACTGCATATAGCAAGGCCCTCCCATCCAACATTCAATTTGGTACAAAAGCCACAATTGATGAAAGAAAGAAGCTGAAGTCAGAAACAATTTTCCACTGCAAAAGGGTCCAGGGTGTGTTTGGGTTTGATGGTCACCAGTGCCTGTCATTTCCAGCAGTGGTGAGAGCTGGTGGTACTATATGAAAACCTGGGACTGATGACAAAGAATTTGAACACATATTTCTAACAGCATTGTGCATCTCTATCCAAATCTGTCAGATGAAATTGGAAGGTGGGCAATGATAAAGATAGATTGCTTGTGATTTGGATAAATTCCATCCACTCAAGTAGGTGTCCCAACTTGCCTTTCTTCTCAACCAAAACTCAGACAGTAGCCAATCCACTACATACTAGATACCTTGATTGATAATTCTCTTTCCATTCCTCAACTCAGTTTTTGAAGGTGTGTTGTTGTTTTTAGGCAGAAAATACTTGCTCCTTCATACTACTACTAGACCCTGTTTTTGAAAAATTCATTCCACGACATCAAATACAGCTCGTCCATTTGTTACTAGTACAAGAAAGCCAGTAATAAATGGATCATACAACTAATCTACTAACAATAGTAGTGTCCTCGTTTGACTCATTCAACTATTATAGTCATCAAATGCTTGGTTATGAAGATATACTAGCCATCCCCATGGGCATGGCTGAAAATTACTAACAACAAATTTGGGCCATTCCTCTAAAAATAGTACTACAGTACTACTAGTACTAGTACTAGTAATAGTACTAGAAGTTATTATAATAGATGAGACAAAACAAGAAGTGTATTGAATAGTAATAACCTTATGAAGCAAAGGGGGGAGAGCTGTATACTGCTGGTACCCTTCTGATGTTCAGAGGTGCTCTGGTTGTGGAGATATCAGTCTCACCATGAACATGAGGAGAATATCTGTTGGAGTAAAATTTCTTTTTTCTTTGCTCCTACTAGTACTACTACTAGTAGTACTATACTACTACACTACTAGTACTCTACTTGTCACACCCCTGTCATCACTAGTATAAACAATATAATAAGAATACATTTTAACAAATATAAATGTACACTTGATGGCTGAAGTTACTCCAATGCTCTTTACATACAGCAACAGTGCAACTCCTGCAACCATTCCTTGACATTTTCATACTAGTAGTACTAATAGCAATCCATGGCAACTTCCTTAATCTCCTCACTGATGAGTTAGGATACCTATTCTTTGCTTCTTCTACACAGACAACATAATAGTTCCTCTTCACTCCTTCCTATTTGCCACTGCATATTCTTCCTGGTTACCTTTCCATGAGCAATGGTGGTGCTGTTAATTTTGTTCACACAGAAGAAACAACACCCACAACCACAAGGGTGGTATTTTCCATTCTCTGAAACAAGCTATGGCATCCACTCTGGTTTAGAGCCCTCCATCATGTGGAGTTTTCCACCAGTCCAATCTTCAAATGTTAACTTTTTGGGATCATTTGCTATCACCAGCTGCTGAAGGATTCTTTCATCAAACAAGAAGAACAACAAGAACAACAAGAAATGCGCCAACCCTTCCACCTTATTACTAGTGCAGCCATTGAATGTATTCCTTACATCACAGGTGGGACCTGGGGTTGCACCTCCTCCAGGTGATGCATACTGGGCAGAGGGGGGAGCAGACCACTCCTCTGCATCATCACCCAACAACTTCTTGCCACCATTCCAATGTGACGAAGCTTTGTTGACATTATTTGACTGTTACCAGTCTCAACATCCTCAAATGAAACCCACCAGATGACTCTTCATTATTGGAGATAATCATGAATGATACTTCCACCAGTAAAGGTGTTTTATACAAAGTAATCATTGTTTCAAACTCTTTTTGGTATTTCTGTCTTATTTTATGTAGGATTTGTTCTGCAGTCTATACTACAGGTGAAAATCATGGAAACCCAAAAATAATCCAAAAATGCACGATTTGGGMGGAGACGGGAAAAAGTTAACAACTGGAATCGTGCTGCCTTCGGTACGTATCGTACGTACCATACCTTACCGTGAAGACGTTGGAATGGTCGTTTTCTTCTTGTGTGATACGAAGTACATGTACATCAACGTACTTACTTGAGTCACGCTCGTGTTTTTGTTTCTTGATTTTGTTAGTATGGTGGGAACATTCTTGATTCCTTTTTACCGTGCGGTGATGTTCTTTTTTCAGTATATATTTTTTTAGACTGACAAAAAAGCAATTTCTTTAACGTGCGGTGCTTCAGTCATTGGCATTTTTGTTCCGACTGGAACTGACAGTACCGCCAACTAACGCTCGATCCCCACGAATCGATCAAAATCGTCATTAGGGCTAACCGTTCCGAACGCTGGCGCGTTTCTCTATCCGAKTCGTACTGGATTGTACGGTACGGTACGRTGGAGCAAGGGTCATTCGAGCGGAACCGGGTCGTGCGCGTCGTGTCATCCCGCGCCCTTTTTTTCCCCGGAACGGCACATGTATCGGTTGCCTCCCGCAGGTACGGCGCGGTGCTAGTAGGGGCAGCCTTGGTTTTCGTCGACCTCCCCCCGAGACCGAAATTAATGTGGGACTTGCCGGAAAACGCGACTCGGAACAAAATTGGTTGTCACGKTGTCACTGGCCGGCGTTCGGTGACCGCAGCGCGTTCTATGCATTGTGCGTTGGGAATTAAAAATAGTTAGACAGGACGCGCGCCCCGAAAAGACTCGTTCAATTTTTGCCGTCGGTTAGGCTTACGGCGCAGCACGCTAACGAAAACGCATCGAGCCCACACCCCGGGACCCTACTCACAGCTTCCGTGGCTGCCGCCGGGGCCTACCTACGGCACCGTAGGAGGCTTCTGTTGCTGGGTCCGGCGGGAGGAACAGAGCTCAGACAAACCAACCCCCCTCCCGGAGGAACGGACCACATTATATTTTCGGAAAGCACCCCATCGCAGGAGCAACATCACCACCCACTCCGCAGGGTGTAGCTACTCGCTCGTTCSCTCGTTAGTTTGTTACAGTAGTTTGTTAGTTTGCTTCAGGCAAGAACGTTCCATTGCATTCGGAAGCAGACTCGACCATGGCGCCAAGGGAAGCAACGGGGACCTTCCCCGATCAATACCTGACGTTCGACTACGACATGTCCGCGAATCTGGGCATGGGCATGGGCATGCCGCCGATCGATCCCTTTCCGGTAGTGACGGGGGAAGACCTCGGGCAGAACGATCTTGACAACGCCGCGGGGGGAGGCGGAGTCCAAGACGCCAACAACAACAACAACAACAACGGCAACGGCAACGGCAACACGGGAACCCATTCCCTGGAAGGCGGGAACGAGACCACTTCGCTCACGAATTCGCAGCAGCCCCAGCAGGCTTCTTCCCCGCAGGAAGCGGTGGATCCCCTCTCCATTGATCCCACGATACACCAAGAACCGCAGTGGGACTCGGACAACCTCAACACCAGCACCACCAGCACGATATCGAGAGTTCCGAGAGTTCCCCAGCTGCCRCAGATAAACATAAACCACACTCCCCCGCGCATATCCCGCGGGTTGTCGGGAAACTCCACCGTGAACGTTCGTGGCATCCGCCCGGGACAGCACCCGCAGCACCACCTCGGGCAGCAGCAACAGCAGCATCAGCATCAGCAGCAACAACAACAAGCACACGGCGACCTGGTGTCTCATCCCGCCAACGCCGCCTCGGCACTCGGCTATGATCTTTCCAACGCCGTTGGCCCGGGTGCCTCCGCCCCCGCGGCGGCCGCCGTTGCCCCGAACGGCCACGGCCTCGCCCGGAGGGTCTCTACCGGTTCGAGCACGGCGGGTTCGGCCTTTGCCGCCTCTGCCGGAGCCAGGCGCGTCTCCTCGAATTCGATCGCGGGCCAGGGCCTTCCTCCCCCACCGGAGGGAGCCCCCAAGACMGAAACCGACGGCCTCGGGAAGACCATCGAAGACGAGGACCACCGGCCACCGGGCCTCGACATTACCTACGACACGATGGCGTCTTCCTTCATCAGCGCCGGGAGTCCRTCGCAAGACTGGGGAGACGAGGTAGAGGACGACGAGAACAACAACAGCAACCTCATCCTCGACGGCAGCCTTGCCAACGCCTCGGGAASCGCCAGCGTGGTCTGCGTAGAGGACGACCAGGACGAGCACTCGTTCCTGGGAGGAGGCCTCAACAGCTCCTCCTCCSCGATGAACACGTCGACGGCTTCCGGTGCACCGATATCGAGCAACGCCAGCGCCATCTCGACCAACTCGAGCTTTTCGTCCATGAGAATGATCCAGCAGACGGCTGCCTTTGACATGGAAACAAACGAAAACGAGAACGAGAACGACCACAACGGTACCAGCATTCCGAGGTCTCCCACCGGGCAGTCCTCCGATTCGTCCTCTCCCATACCGACCTCCCCCAACTCRATCATGCTCTCCTTTGGTCCCAACACGCGCGTGGACGACCTCAAATACTTTGCGGAACGGGGCTGCATCGTGGCCTTGCTACAGGCGCTCAACACACCGCGCCTGGTGACCCTGGGAACCCGAATGCTAGCGGACTACGCCAAGATGTCCCACCGCCGGGTCGCGGTCGCATCGAACCGAAGGATCCTGGAGTTTGTCCAGCGAACGATGCTGCACGTTTCCGACCATAACCAGGAGTGGCTGGGAAGGGAATACGCCGTGGAAACCATTCGAAGCCTCACCGCGACGGAAGAAAGCGACAAGTACCTCATGGGCACGTACGGAATCCTCAACACGCTGGCCCTGGTGGCCCGCGGTGGGCCCTTTGTGCCCTCCCAGACGGGGAACACGCCCTCCATCCCGCTGGCCTCCGAAAAGGCACGGCTGCACGCCTGCATCGCTATTATGAACCTCTCCTGCGGAAAGGCCAACAAGATCGAGATTGCCAAGATACCCGACGTACTGGAAGCCATGAGGGACGTCATGCTCAACTCGGGCGACGAAGCCCGCCTCAAGGCCACCACCTGCATCAAGAACCTGAGCAACGCCGACGCCAACGACGCGGCCCTGCTGGGAACCCCGGGCCTGGTGGCCGCCCTCGGACGCATGGCCACTGCGACGTGCTCGGCGGAAACGGGGGCCACCCCCTGCACGACGAACGCCTGCCTGGCCCTGATGAACCTTTCCATATCGAAGGCCAACAAGCACCGCGTCTTTCGAACGCCGGGGGTCATGACAGCTCTCATGACCGTCCTGGAGCGGACGACGGCCCAGGGATCCTCCACCGAGGCCCGCATCAAGGCCTGCTCGGCCCTTTCCAACCTCGCGATTGGCTACGACAACAAGATTCCCATGTTCAACTACCCCGGCTTTGTGGACGCGATTCTCAACGTCATTCTCACGGACCGGGGGGAGGCCCGCACCAAGGCCTGCTCGATCCTATGGAGTTTTGCGGCCGAGATGAAGAACCAGGTACCGGTCGTCCAGCGCGGGGACATTCTCCCCGTACTCGTMCGCGTGGCGGAGGAAGATGGAACCACGGAGGCGAGGTTCAAGTGCGTCGCGGCCCTGACCCTGCTGGCGGAGTCCCTGGACAATGCGATTCCCCTGCTCGAGTCGGGAGCCCTGGCGCCCCTCATGGACATTCTGCACGAGGCCGGACCCGATCCTACCCAGTGGAAGGGACAGACCGCTTCGTGGTGTGTCGGGTTCCTGATGAACATTGCCCAGAGCGACGAAGCCGTTCCCTCGCTCCGCGAGGCGGGAGTGGTCGAGCTCCTGGCACCCCTCCTGACCCTGGAYCACTACCAGAGTCTCAAGGCGGCCATGGCGGTGACCTTTGTGTGCCGGTACGACGAGGGCGACGAATGCTACGATTTGCTGCGAAAAACGGAAAACGTGATTCCCAAGATCATCTCTCTCCTGCACAACACCCTCTCGGGGCGGGGCGGCAACGGATACAAGTACGGTGTCTTTACCCTCCGGAGCTCGGTGGGATGCATATCGGCCCTCGCACTGGGACCCGACTTTATGAAGGAACGCATCGCTACCGGGCCCGTCTTTGAGAGCCTCTTGCGGGTCCTGTCCGACTTTTCCGTGGACGGCGGTACCCCCGGTGCCATTGTGGGTGGCGGCAGGGACGACGTCCTCAGTGCGACTCTTGCGGTACGGGCCCTCCAGTCGCTCACGGCACACCTGATCCCGATTGCCGGCAGCTCGGCCCTGCCCTTTGGACAGTCGATGGAAGACCGGCTGCTGACGGCCCTGATTGCCCTCGAGGAGTCCACGCACGAAGAACTGAAAGAGRACACCCGGCAGCTCGCCATTGACGCCAAGGTGCGAATCCAGGGAAGCCAAAAGGCCGGCCGCGCGGGCCACCTGCGGAACGGAAGCGTCGACATTGACATGGCGGACGTTGCCTCGCTGGCGAGCAACTGCTGCGGYCTGGATTCCATCCCCGGCTTTGGCGACAAGTTTCTCCACGCCCTGACCCTGCCCTCGGAGGAATCCAAGAAGGCCACCCCGGACCTCGCCCCCAGCTCGAGCATGGTCGAGGACGCGGCAGAGCCCGCGGCCCTMGCGCCCCCGCAGCCCGTGAGGACCTTTTTGCTGGCGGACGKCCGGACCGGCCGCCGGTTCGCCGTCCCCACGGACCCCAGCGGGGGCCGGGCCTTTAACGACCCCCGCCGCTGGTGCTACCGCAGGGGGCGCTTCTGCCAGCCCGGCGAGGACCCGGACCCGAACTTTGTCTGGACGGACGACCTGCAGCGTGCCTACGAAACGGCCCTGGCGAACGTGGACCAGCAGCAGCCCAATCCTTCCCAGGCGGCGGCGCCGTAGCGGGAGCGACGGGGACGGGAGTGCTAGCAACGGGGGAGCGCCCGGMGACCGGGCCGCTCGTGGTGCATGCCATATCGGGAGTGCAGCGCAGGACCGCTCTGTTCTGTACAAATGAAAAAGAGTGAAACGATTGACATTAAAAAAGACTAGATACACGGTTTCTCTTTCTATCAATAGGTTGTGAATAGTTTTGTACGAAATAGATMGCATATGTGTCGCACGGTGTCTTTCTGAGTTGCGAATATGGCAAACGAGTCTCCTGCCCTCCCCCCCGGAGTTTGGAGCCCAGCGATGTCTACCGAATCTTACAAAAAAAGCCTCACCGTACCGTACCAACGATAGTCAGGTTGCCATAACGATTTCGGGTTGCGCCATGAAAGCCTCCRCAACAGAAACGAGTAGTACTGGCGGCTCTCTCCAAGACGACCCGAAACCTCGCAAAGCAAGCAAGATCTGGCAGCGCAACAGACCAACACCGCAAGGGCGATTGTTTTGGCTGTACTCCATTCTGACTGCGAATTCCATGGTGAGTTGTTTGTTTAGCAAGATAAGCAAGCAAGTGGTGYACAGTATTATCGATCTCTAATTATCGTGCAGCCAACACCAAAAAATTCCCTTTCCGTGTTGTTCGGAATCGGTGGTCAGTGTATGGACCACCGTTCTTGTGGCAACACACGTCGAATCCTCTTCGTTGATGATTCCCTGCCAACCATAGCTTTGGCTTTGGGTTACCGAGGGCATCCTTTTCGAAACGCTTTTGCGCCAGAAAAAGTGTCCGGAAGGTTGCCTCATGCGTGGCCGTGCTTTGCCTGGGGTGGCRTGCGTGGGTCGGAAACGGGGAGGAGAGAATTCGTCTGCCATAAARGCCCCGGGGGCGACGAGACCACGAAACAGAGGTGGTTGGTTCGCGGGCGTGGTGTGTCGGGTGTCGTGTGTGCGGTGCCTGCCTCGAACCAACCAACCAACCAACCACCCCCTTTCACGGCTCGTGCTTGGCGTAGGTTCGAAGAACGAGCCCGCTGGCCCCGAGGGGGGCATCGCGCTCCGCCAAGTATCCCTTCGATTCGTAGAGGCGCAGCGCGGGCTCCAGGAGGGTGAGGGTGTTGGCCAAAAACCGGAGGCCCTTGCTTCCCTTGTGTCGTTCCATGGCGTACGCCTCCGCCGCCCCGAGCAGAAGGGTGGCGATCCCCAGCCCCCGGTGCCCAGCTTCCACGGCCAGCCGCACCACCTCGAGGGAGAGCCTCCGGCTTGCGCTTCCGCGTTCTTCGGGCAGTTTGTCGCCGTACCGAACGCCGACGCACCCCACCACCTCCCGGGGCCCTTGAACGGTTCTTGTTCGTTCGTGTTCTCGTGCGCTTTCCGCGTACCGGACCGCCACCAGAAAGATCCCCCCGAGGGAGCGGTAGTGCTCGCCGATCCTCGAGGGCCGGGTTTCGGAATTTGCGGCTCCCGCCGTTTCGGCCCGCTCCGTTTCCCGCAGGTCCTTGCCCAGGGCCGCCCTGACCATTTTCCGGATGGCCGGGTGCTTCTCCGTGTAGTCTTTCCCGTAGGTGCCTCGGAAGAGGTCCCGGACGGACGCCTCGTCGCAGGCCTCGATCTCCGTGCAAACGATGCCCCCCCCTGGGCCGAGAGCGGGGAGTCCCGACCGGGCCAGGGCGAGGTCGGGTTTCCGCCGGTGGTCTTTCGTCCCCCACGGGCAGACGAAGCGGCGAAAGAGCGAGGGATCGGCGCGGTGCACGGACCGCGGTTTGTGAGCGGCCAGGCCAACGGCCACGACATAGGAGCGCAGGTGCAACGCCAGTGCGGCGTGCTCGTCAAAGACCTCGGGGCACTCCAYGGTGGCGGCGGATCCGCTGCTCGAGGGGTCCGAAACGGAGGCCGCCACCGCAAAGGACGACGCCACGCCGAGGTTCACCGCGGACGAGTCCCGAGAAAACCCGCGGTTCGCCAGCCGCCTGGCGATCTCCCCCTCCGATCCTCCGATGGGGTGAAAGCATCCGTCGGCCGGCGAGTGCGAGTGCGAATTCGGCGGCGAAGGCAAAGACGACGGCGCGGACCGACCCCGCTCCATCTTGCGGTGGAATTTCTGGCAGTAGTCCCTCCGATAGCCCTCCACCACCGAYACGGGGGATCCTTCGGAAGCAGAAGGGGGAGGCCCCAGGGGTTCCAGCAGCACCAGGGCGCTGTCCGGCGTGGCGCAGAGCCTCTCGGAGCACCACTCCAGCAGCCGGTCGGTGCTCGGGGGCGACAGGTAGGACAGGACGAGCTCGGAGACCACCAGGGTCGGCACCGGCTCCTCCGAGGGATCCTCCCTTTCCGGCGCCCGCAGCACCGGCTCGAGCGTGGAGAGRTCGGCCAGGTCCCCGGGAACGAGCCAGTAGTCCCTTGCGCCGCAACCACTCCCAAAGGCGATCCTCCCAACGTGGCAGGGCGGACCACCCCTTCTGCCCCCCCGCTCCGCAAGGTCGCGGACCAGGCCCCGCCCGGCCACCATCTCGCGCTTGATCGCGCAGACCTCCGGCGTGTCCACCTCGACGATCGTGATCGAMRGATCGCCGGTCTTTTCGGTAGGCGCCAGGGACCGGGCCCAGATCCCGATGACGTCCACCCCGCACCCCAGAAAGACGATCCGGATGCTTCGCGGTCGGCGGTGTGGTTGTGGTTCTTGTTGTGGTTCTTGTTGTGATTCTTGTTCTTGTGGTTCGTTTGGTCCGTCCTTTCCGGGTGTCAACAGAGCGTGGTACGATACGAAGGACCGGATCGCGGACGACACCGCTAGCACCCGGGAGGCGTACCCGGCGTTGACCAGGGGGGTCTGCCGCCTCGTTCTCGTTCTCGGTGTCCTTTCCTGGGATCCCGCTCCCGCTCCCGCTGCCGACGACGAATCCACCGCCCGCGAGAGCAAGTCGCGGTAGACCTCGTGGCGGTCGACCACCATCGGGTGGTAGCCGGCGGCCACGGCCGATTGCTTCGCCCGGATCGCGTCGAAGCACGTCTTGGCCACCGAAGAGGTCATCTCGATCGATCCTTTCGCTGTTTGCTTCTGCGGGATCGTCGAGGACKGGTACGGGTACGAACTCGTACGMACTGCTTGCACGGGATGGTTTCTGCTTCTGCTTCTGCTTCTGCTTCTGCTTCTGTCCCGGTGTGTGAATACTGTTAATATTTAATATTGTATGCTTCGTTTCTTCGTCGTCGGCCAATCAATGAAAATCGAAAATCATCCATCCAAAAAATCGATCGAATTTTTTCGGAAAAAGTTTCAATTTTTTTTAAAAAAGAAAATCATGCGCGCGTTTTTCGAGTTCTCGCGCGGAAACAGAGACAATCATACAACAAGCGGTTAGAATGAATAAATACTGTATCTGTCCGTGTGTCAGTGGGGTGGGTGGATCTTGCCTGCCCAAACCTGCAAAAGCCCGATGAAACATGAAACAGAGCCTTCACGTATCGTACGTACGGGACATCAATCTACGAGTACTACCAGAAAGCAATCCTCGGATGCTTTCCAGCGGATGATCGAACCGTAGAATCGATTTCAGAACAGGACCAAACCAAACCGAACAARGCACAACCGACCGGAGCAAACACCCCCACCCACCCCACACACCTACCCTCTGTGAAGAACCAAGCCATCCACGGGACGATCCACCAACGATCCATGTCGTCGTCGTCGGTCACCGACCCCGCAACGGAAAACGAAGCCTTGGCCTTTCGTCCGTCGCCCCGGGAGGAATGGACCCTCCTMTCGCAGGGAGCCGAGGCCCGCGTCTGGAAGCTGGAGGCCGGCCCTTCCAAAGGAAGCAGCAGCGACGGCAATGGCAATGGCGACGGCGACGGCCCGCGGGGGTTTCTGGTGTGCAAGGAACGCTTCTCCAAGGCCTACCGTCACCCCGACCTGGACCTCCGCCTCACCAAGAGCCGGTGCCGGTCGGAGGCCAAGCTGCTGGGMAAGTGCGCCTCCAGATCCGCCATTCGGGTTCCAAGGGTCGTCCGGGTGGATCCCCCCAGCTTGTACCTSGAGTACCTGGCGGGCCCGAGCGTCAAGTCGTACCTCCAGGGGCAGCAGCGGAAGAAGAAGCAGCAGCAGGAACAGCAACAGCAACAGGAACAGCGGCAACAACAACAACAGCAAGAAGAAGAACCACCGAACGGGGAGAGCAAAAGCAGCAGCGGCGACRCAACGGCGGAAACAGCCCTGAGCGAYGCRAGGATACCCCGGGCAGAACTGGCTCGCAGGATGGGACAGCTCCTGGGGCGCTTGCACAACATCGGAATCGTTCACGGGGACCTGACCACCTCCAACATGGTGCTCCTCCCGGCAGAATCCAAGCCCGAGCCCAGGGACGACGACACACCCAGCGACGGCAACGGCGACGCCTTCGAGCTGGCCCTCATCGACTTTGGCCTCTCCAAGTCCACGGACAGCTCCGAGGAACAGGCCGTCGACCTCTACGTCCTCGAGCGGGCCCTGCTGTCCACCCACCCCGACCTTCCCGGGGGATTTTTCGAAACGGTCCTGGAGGAATACAAGGCCACCACGGAAGGGGACCAGGCCCCCGGGGGCGATGCCGGGAAAAGCAAGAAGCGAAAGAACCACTGCCAGTCCGCCCTGGTGCGCCTGGAACAGGTGCGGATGCGGGGGAGGAAACGGGAGTGTTTTGGCTGATTCGAGAAAACGAAGAACCCTCGAAAGCCCTGCGCCGCGCCGCGCCGCSCCGCCCCGCACTACGCTACACTACACCACGGTACAATAGAAAATAACAAACAACTTCCATCCGGATTTTGGCACAACTGTTTTGCATGCGTGGATTGTTGTTCTTTTGTTTGCTATAGTAAAAGGACACCGTGCTTCGTCCTCTCCCCGGCCTAGCCTGGCCTGCCGGACGAACCAAGGCGTTCTCCCACCGGTTCTGACCGCGGCTCACGCCGCAAACAGGCCGTTCCGGGCCCCAAAGACGTTGTCTTCGTCCAGGGCGTCCTTGATGGAAACCAGGGCGCTCCGAAAGGCGGCCGAGGAGCGTGTCTTGGCAAAGGACGCGCGGAGCTTGCCCAGGCCGTGGTGGTGGCTGAGGGAGCCCCCCTGCRCTAGGATCTCGTCCCGGGCGGCCCGCTCCAGCTCGGAGTACACCCTGCTGGCCCCGCTCCCGACCCCCTCGAAGCCCATGCACAGGTAAAAGTACAGGCAGGCCCCCTCGTGGTAGACCTGGGTGACGCGGCACCCGACAAAGGGGGCACCGGGGAGCAACCGGGACGAGTGCTCCCTGGCGATCCGTGCCTTGGTGGCCTCGACCAGGGGCTCGATCCTGGACCACGGGACAAAGGTCTCGAAGGACTCCCCCAGCACGTGGTAGGTCATGGCAAAGTCGCGGAGGTAGGCAATCATGTACGTCAGCTCGTACCCCGCCCTTCCGACGCCCGGTCCCAGGAGGACCCCCCCGCCGGCGCGGGAGAGCCTCGAAACGGCCGCCATTTGTTCCCGTACCTCGGAAGCGCTGCCCTCGTAGCTAATCGTCGCGCAAACGATGGAGTCCGGGCCAAAGTCCTTCCCCAGCCAGGCGTGGGCGAGGCTCTTGGACAGGGCGTCTTTTGTCCGGCCGAGCCACGAGGCCTCGTCCGGGCGCAGGGCCTGCCCCAGGCGAAAGTGCGCGTTGTCGAGCAGCCGGACGCAGGCGGGCATCCCCCGGGGTTCCCTGGAGAGCGCCCGCAGAAACCGCAGGCCGTCCGCAAAGGTCRGAAAGGCGACGCTGTCGAACCGCCTGGCCTCCGGGAGGGGCCACACGCGGACCACCGCGCTCGTGACGATGCCGAGGCACCCCTCCGAGCCGATCGCCAGGTCCGAGACGCCGATGCCCTCGGAATTCCTCCCTTGGGCGGTCCTGGTGCCCTCGGTTCCCTTCCACAAAACACCGCCGGGGCCCACGATCCTCGAGGACACCACGATGTCTTCGATGTTTCCGTACTTGCTCCTCTTCATCCCGCTGGCTTTGGTGGCTATCCAGCCACCCAGGGTGCTGAATTCGATGCTGTCGGGTTCGTGGCCCATGGTGTACCCCCTCCGGGCGAGGATTTCCACCAAATCGCGGCCCGTGATGCCGGCTTCCACGTGCGCGAGACCGTCCTCTTCGTTCAGCCACAAGACACGGTTCAATCGTTTCGTGCTGACCGTGACGATCGGCCGTGGTTCGGTGTCCCTCGGCGGGCACCGTGTCGCCTCGATCACGTTGGTACCCCCGCCGTAGGGGATCAAACACCACCCCTTGCGTCTCGCCGCATCCACGATGGCCAAAACCTGCTCCTCGGAAGATGGCCAGAGCACGGCGTCGGGTATGCGAATGTCGTCCCCGTTCCGAATGGCAAATACATCTTCTTGCGAGTGACCGGTGCCGTGGCGAAGCCGGTCGAGGGTAGAAAAAGAAAGCTGGCCTTGGACTAAGTCTTTCAGGTATTCTTGATCTGTCTTTGACAAGCTTGTCTCCACATCCGAGTGCCACCTGGGGTGCATGGTAGTGAACTCATTGGACGTGTTGATTTTTACGCGAAGCGCGGATTCGATGAATGGAAGTATCTTGGTCATTTTTTTGCCACCCAAAGAGTATCTTGTACCCTTCATTGTGACGTATCTCGTCCCGCGGCCATCCGTTTTGGCAATGAATCCAGAGTCCCTGAAGCCCCAAAATCCAAGCTTTTCTTCGCTGTCGGTTAGGCTTGGATCGACTGCATCGATTCGTATCGAGGACAAGCGAGGTTCTTCTTCTGTTTCCCTGGGGATTCGCATGAATACAGCAGCGCGCAAAATTGGCGCCGGAATATCAAGTTCTTTGACCGCTTCAGCTGTTTGAAAGACGTGATCGCAATCAGGGTTTGTGAAACCCTTGCACTTTAGCCTCGAGATCGCATCAGTCACTGCAGCATCGGCATGATCAAAAAATGTCCCCAGYCGGTTGTATATCAGCYGGACGTCGTCATCTAAAATAGTCGATTTTTGAACACTTGGTGCAGAAAGTCGATTCAACCACACAGACCAGTTTCTTCGACTTTCGACGAAGAGAGGAGCAAGAAGGTGACCAAAATGCAACATAATTGTTAATGCATTGATTGGGTCTGTTGGGATCTCAGGTRGATCGGCTATGCAGGTCTCAGGCCAAAAACGGCATCCGAGTTTTGGTAATGCTACCTTCAGTTTGGAATACTCGATATCCAACAGATTTGAGGCTGCCTTTAGGTGATATTCAGATACAACGATATCGTTTTGTTGCTTCATTTGTATCTCATCAACCAGTTGTTTGAAATCTATGTCAGACCCACAKCCTAGAGGAAGAGGATTGGCAGCTGTGATATGGACCTTCCCAATATCTATTTTTCCTCGAATTGCTTCCCTTAGCCACAATAACATTCCGGTTATGTTGAGCATCTTACGATTAGAACCAGCAGCTTCTTCGGATAGGATATTCTGTTCAGGAATGGACTCGTAATTTATTGTAATGGGAAGAATGACGTGCTCCCCTCCTGAATTCTTCAGACTCTTGAGAAGCCCTGTTTTTGGGTCAACAAAGCGTCGATCTCTGCTTCTTCTACCTTCGATGAATACCTCAAACGTTACATTGCCGTGTTGATCTTTCAGTGACTTCAGTTTCGTCACAAGATTCTTATCCGCCCGACCTTTCCCTCTCTGAATGTAGAACGCTCGTAATTGACGGGCCAACCACCCGACTATCGGAAGGCTCTGAAATTCATCTGCAGCGATTATGAAGGGAAGTTCTATCTGTAGCTCTGGCAATGAAAAGAAAACGTAGCTCAATAGAATGAAGTCGAAGAAGGATCGATGGGTGGGTACCAAAACCAAGTGAACAGGCTCGTTTTCGCCTCTTGATCGCAATGCAGCGAGATGTTTACGAAAGGAAATCAAATCAACTGTTACTACAGTTGCTATCGCGCCGAGCAAATAACCAACAAATGCTGCAGCAAGTCTGAGAAGGATATCACCTCTTGGTTGACAAAATGCCCACCGCAACCAGGACGATCCAATTGAATGACATTTACCACCAATTGCAAAGCAAGACATCCTGCTCAGAGGTTCGGGTTTGGATAACGTCGTTTGATTCGAGTTTTGTCTTAAAGAGATGAACCGATGCGCTGCAACTCCACAGCTAAAGCTATATCGCTTTACATCGAAGTTTCTCGGAGCTGTCAAGTCCGATCGAAAATAGAACTCATTTTTGACAAATGGATAAAAGAGGAGGGGGAGATCTAGAAATGTCAAGAGTTTTGTGAGCTTCGGACTAGTTGATCCCATATACTCGCAACATGCTGCAGCAAACTCAAATGGTGGTCGTATGAGATAGCCTTGAAGAATACCGTACATCCCATGGCTTGGTTGAATCTTTGGAATGAGTTGTGCTGATATTAAAAGTTGCATCATAGCACTCGTTCGACTGAAGTATCCCAATATCGACCCGAGATGCAAATACGATACACTGAACTCAAGCCAGGAAAATAGAGCATGCATACTCGATTCGGTGTCCCACGTAGCATTGTATATCCTTGGGAATCGACAACAGACCGTGCTCTGTGATGATGCATGGGATCCTATATCTTCGAACTCAGTACTTTCATCACTGATYGTGCTAATCCGTTCAAAACTCCCGTCGGAGGAGGACGCGCCATCATTAGAACTAGGCTTATCATCAGGCTCATCATGGAATGCTTTTGCGAGGATGAATCGTGCGAGCAAATCAACAGGAAAGCATGTAGCACGTTGCCTTCCAAGGTGCCAAATGTTCCATTGATGACTGAGGTGAAGGCAGGGTCCGGCAACGATTGTAGAAGGTCGATCTCCGGCCCAGCCTTCGAATGGTGTTTCTATTGCGGGTCCGACAATACTGGGACGAATGATGATGGTATCGATGTGATTGTTTTGCGCCAACAAATGCTCGCACACGCTTTTGCTGAACGAATACGTGTTTGGAAAGTTCAATTCTGCCATTGCTTTGCTAGCGTAGTATTGTGTACCAATCATCGATCTGTAAATCTCATTTGGGTCAAACGATTCAAAGTCGAACAGCTCTTCGGGCAGTGGTGTTTCCTCCGAACCGATTTTATCACCGTGAACAAAAGCAGTGCTGATATGGACGAATTTTGCCTCTTTGTTTTTCAGCCGACCAGTTAGTGCCTGCACATTCAGGGAAGAACTTATATTGCTCTGTGCTGCATTTGGGAATTCCAGGGTAAAACTCACGGCCGCAGCGCAATGGAAAACATGTGATATGCTTGGATCATTCACTATCTGGGCAAGATCCATTGGAGACAAACCCGCCGAGTTCCTTGTGACATCGCCTTCGATAGCCTGGATCAAAGATTCTTTTTCCACATCGGGTAGAAATTCAAAGATTGGTTTGCTTAGCAATTGCTTTATCCTCGATTCCGCCGACACACCTCCCTTCGTTCTGCATATAATTAATATCTTCTCTAGTGAAAGGACTTCTCGGTGCACCAAAAGATCTCTGAGAACTGCCGATCCCACGAAGCCTGTACCTCCCGTTAAGACAACCTTTCTCTTTAACTTGAAGTCGTCGTTTTTCRATGAAGTTGGCAATCGCAAGGATTCCATGTTATCTAAAACTCCGGATTGCTCTTGGCTCTCTGGAGTGCCAACCGACGACTCTTTCGTGCACATTATGTTGCCATCATCGCAAACAGCGTCTATCATGTCGCAATTTTCCGCAAACGCAGAGGACTCTTTCAAGTAGAACTCAGCAGTCGTCCACCGCAATAAATATTCTTGCATAACGCACCCAGAAAGAATCACAAATGAATAGAAAAGTAATCGCGTGGACGACAAATACCCGGTACACTTCCCTACAATTGTTACCAAAGCCACCATTGCTATTACAGATGGGGTTGTGTTATTCTTTGCCGGCGTTGCAGTTGCTTCTGATTGAGAACCTRAAGATTCCAGTAGGCGAGGTATACAGGCCTGTTTCAAGTGACGTATTAATTCCACAAGTTTTGAGTCGGATAGATGTTGGCTGCAAATCGGGAGATAGAGAATCGAATCCATGAGGCGGTCTGTGGAAGGGCACCTATCTTCTTGCCGCAAACCCTTGCTATCAGTATATTGTGAAACGGAGCATAGCTGCGATGCGCCGGTTGCGACGTCAAAACCGACGCATCGGAGGTTTCTACTGACAGCCTCTCGGTCATTACTACAGATCGGGAACGCCCAGTGTGTGTGTTCAAAGCTAGAAAGCTCCGGAAATAATGCGAGGGGGAGTTCTTGTTTCAGCATCGTCGACACCTGTTCACAACGCCGTATTCTTTCTGGCACCGTCGGAGCCATACGTACGGACTGTTTCAGGCGCCGGTAGAGTACGGCCAACAGAGCGTTCGAGGGTCTCTTGCGGATCTGGCGGACGTATTTTTCTAGCGAGCGATCCTCACTTTTTTGTTTGTTTCGCAGTCTATGATTCATTCCGGTCGACTTTGGTAGGTGAAACCCCCGAACGGCCCGCGTCACTAATACATCAAAGCTGAATCCACATAAATGGCACATCCAGGCAAGCACCCCTACACGAAGGGGAGAGTCGGCTATAAAATTGAGCACGGTGGCAACGAGCACCTTCCGAAAGAATTCTCCCCGTGTTTGTTGGCAGCTGTATACATTTTGCTGAAGGCGATTCATGTGCTTGGCCGTATCGCTGTTTTTTACCAAGGCAACGCCTCCACCCAGTGCCGTGGCCGTTTTTATGGTTCCGAAGGAGAAAAATCGAATGTCCGAGTGAGTAGGACTTCCCAAGTAGTTCTCGGAACCTAGCCCCGTGAATGTTTCGGCGCAGTCTTCCCATAGTTCCAGTTTGTGTTTGTCGGCGACGCAACGCAGTTTATTGAGCATTTCTCCATTCGTCGTTACGATGCCAAAAGGATGAACTAACATTATGGCAACGGTCTTCTGGGATATTTTGGATTCGAGCTCTTCCAGGTTGATCCAGCGTTGCAACCCAATATCAATGTCGACGGGCACGATTCGTATACTGTGGTACCTGGCAACGTGCATCATACCGGGAACACTGATCGGYGGGACGACCAAAATYTCCGAGCCGTCGGGATATCCTTTTGTTGTAAGGTATAGATCAAAAAGGGACCGAACGGAGAGCCCAACAACTACTTTCGGGGGTGGATTGGCTGTTGATTTTGCACGATTTTTGTTCCTCCCCGGCGACGACGACTGTGTGATTGAATCTGGCCACAGCTCGCATATTTTGCGGTTCAGTCGGTTGTATTCCTGCGTGGACTGCCGTTGCTCTACTGCTGCGCACTGGCAAACGGCAAAGGCTAGGTCTCTATACGAGATGTCGAGGCGACCGCGCGGTACCAACGACCGCACCCCTATCCGTTTCGCAACTGCCTCGCACACCGACACACTTTCTGTTGTTGCATTTCCAGGCTCCGTCGACCACGAGCCAGCTATTGCCCTGACGTTCCTTGTTCCTGCCTGCACTTCATTTTCCTCGTCTGCTTTGTCATCGCAAATTTCTTGTGAACATATCCCGGTTCTGTCGACGGTGTTGGCAATGGTGTTGGCAAAGTATCTTTCTCGGAGACTTCGGCACTCCTCTCCGATCCTGTCGCGTCGCGAGGCCACGAGCCTGACATATTCGTTCATTGCGTCCCGCCGGGACATCGAGGCACATTCCTTCCAGGCTAAAAATTTGGAACGGGCGACGGGTTGGAAGATCGACGGTGCCACCGTGCTGTCATTGTTTTTATCGTTGACGTCTCTGTTGTCGGCGGCTCGCTTGTACAAGCCGTAGAGACGCAGTTTCTCTTCGTCCGAAGTTTTCACTCCGCCATCGCTACCTTCTTCCCCCGACGGTTTCCTTGCTACCAGAAGGGCGACTTCCT